TTGTTCCTCTTTTCCTCCATTACATCCTTTTGTGCTAAACAGATATTTTCTAGTGTACTATTTCAATTTTCTTGTAATTTCTTTTACTGGTTTTTTTTTGTTGTTGTTGTTGTTATTTTCTTGGTGATTTCCTGAGAATTAAATTAAACGTCTTTATTTATAACCATCTGGTTCATATTAATATCAGCCTAACTTCAATAATATATAAGAACTTTACTCCTATATTTGCTCTTGTATATCTCCATTCCATACTCTTTCCTATTACTGTCATACAAATCACATGTTTATGTTATAAATCCATCAACATAGTTTAATGATTACTGCTTCATGCAGTTATATTTTTAATCAGATAGGACAAGAAAAAGTTAAAAAGACAAAAATGCTTGAATACTGAATTTTGTATATACCTTTGTAGTCACCTTTTCCAGTGCTCTTTATTTTTTATGTGGATTTGAGCTATTGTCCAGTGTCCTCTCATTTCAGCCTAAACTTAACCCTAACCTCAGTCCCCATCTGCCACATCCTCAGGCCCCAATTCCTCAAGGTTCTGGCCCTAAGATCCCCCTGCTCAAGTCCCCCCAGTATGCTCCAGCACCAGCTCTGATGGTCTCCAAGGGCTGGAAGCCAGACCATCCCCCGCCCCGCTCAGAGCCCTGTGCTCTCAGCACAGCCAGGGAGAGGGGAGGCCGGGGATGGCTGAGCTTGGGAGATCTCTGGCTTGATGGGTGGAGGAGAGAGGGAAGGGGACTCTTCATTCAGAAAAATAAAGAAGCGTGATGCCCTTCACGTCAGGAGCCCTAAACAGGTGCCATGACACTGCTTTGGAGAGGGACCCAGCCAGCCAGGACAGCAACTTTCAACACAGTGAACCCTTAGAGAAGCCCGCCCCCTGCTCCCCGTTGAGACCTCAGTGGGAGAAGATGACTGGCTCCAGGCTCCCAGCCCCACACTGGCCTCGCTGCCAGCTCACCTCAGCTCCCCGCGCCCGAGGAGAATCCCCGGTGGCCTCATCACAAGGGCCTTTCTCACTGTCTCTGCTCTTCAGTGGAGGCTCCCGATCCCTGGCTTTGCTGGGCACCTGCTTTCTTTTCCTCTCTCCATTCTTTGGCCTGGGTATGAACACCTTCTCTCCTCTGCCCTGTGCTCTCATGCCTTCTCCCGTGCTGGTGGCCTGCCTTCCCAGAGACCTGCGCGCAGAGTTGGCGCTCCGCCGTCTGCAGCCACACCGCCCGCTCCGCTCTCAGAATGGTGCCACCCACAGAACAGCTCTACAAACATTCAGGAGCGCTTGGGTGGCTCTTGATCTCAGCTCAGGTCTTGATCTCAGGGTCGTGAATGCAGGCCCTGTGCTGGGTGTGGGGCCTACTTTAAAAAGAAAACAACAAAGGGAACATTTGGGGAGGCTCGGGGGTGTGTGGGGGGAGACTAGGTAGGAAATCCTTTCCAATCTGCTTTTAAATTAGCTCAGTTTTTCCGCCACCTTTGTGAAGGGATGGAAATTCCAAAGTTGTTTGCAGCTTGTCTTTCACCAAATGAAAATGCTCATACTGTTATGCAGACACAAAGGAACTTCCCCTGAGAGCAGCCTTGGGACCCCGTCTAGAAAGTTCTGAACTCTCCCTCGCAGGTCAGAAGCGGGTCAGGGAACCACTGTGCTAGGGAACTGGAGGTGGAGGCCCAGGAGAGGAAAAGGTCATGGGGAGGGTGACAGGGAGTGTTGCCACGAGAATGACCAACTCGCCCCCAGGCAAGAAAAGATGGACCAGCGCCGGGTGTCCGAAGGTCTGAACTGTCCTGAATGTCTCAGGGAGGCAAGTGTCACCACACCCTTGGGGGACACACGGCAATCAACTCACCTCTGCTTCAACAAGCAAGAAGCTACGGGCCCTCATGACTCGACGTCCAGAGATGGCGCATGGATACAACTGGATGCAGGGAATCCCAGGATGTTTTCTGGGTTCCACCCCTCTCCACCCCTCACCCTGCTTGCCTCTGGGGTGCCTTCATTCTCAGGTGTGCTCCGGGAGCAGTCTGAGTAGCTTGTCATAGCTTTTGGGATGACTGACACCGTAAGACAGATGTCATGGTAGATCTTGAGCTGCTCCACAGGACCAGTGGTCCCTTAGTTCAGTCGCCGTGGGCAGGATGATGGACACCATGACTGGACCATCTGGGTCACCCACCAACCGGAGGGTGGGGGCGGGGGCCCTGCGATTAGCACCCCATCAGAACCCTGGCAGCCTCCAAGCCCCCTGGAAGGTGCAACGGAGAGAAGGAGGCCGGTGCTTGCAGTGGGGAGGCCCTAAGTGGCCCTGTGGCCTCAGGCACTTAGCATCCCTGAGACGGGGTGGACTTGGCCAGAGTGGCTGACTCCAAACAGCTGATGACCTGCACTCGGTCGCCAGCCAGGATCCCAGAGGCTCCCGCATTCCCATTTTCTGGTGCCGCAGAGCCAGGAGGTCCCTTTGAATTCCATGGAGAGGAGGAAGCCCCTTAGAGGGCCACTGTCCTGTGTCCCCAAGCCATGCATGGGGGCCCCGAGCAGATGCTAATGGCAGCACACAACCATCCCGTCAGCCGGGCATTCAGACCTTCACCCAGACCGGAAGCCACACCTTAGGGACTCCGACAGGCTGAGAACCAGAGGACCTTCAGTCATTCCACCAAAGCCAGGCGAGCCTTGTCCAGACACGCACAGACTCAGCCGCAGGGGAGGTGGACACACACCTGCGAAAGGAAGCGGCACGGGGCAGGCCACACCCCAGCTAGCCCCGCTCTGGTTCCGAGGAGCCTCGGGGTGGGATAGGGCCTCGGTGGGCCTGTCGGTCATGTCTTGCCCTTCCCCAGGGGGCATTGTCTGTGGACAACCAGGTGCCAAAGGTCCTGCCTTAGCCACTGACTACCCTCTGGGGTCTCCTTCAAACTCCCCCCAGTCCTGGGTTTTCGAGACCCTCTGGGCGGGGCTGGGAGCCTGAGTCGTGGGCCACCTGCTGTCCAGTTGGCAGTGTGGGTGCCCTGGTGACCAGGCTCAGTGCTGGGCAGCCACGAGTAGGAAGGGTGTGTCGGGACGGCTCTCAAAAACTTGGCCCTTCAGCATCTCCCTCCCCTTATTTCCTACAAAGCACTGACAGGAAGGCCCCTGAGGCTTCTAAGGGCAGTGGCTTCCTCAAATTGTCCACCTCCAGCCCTGGCCCCAGGTTCTGGGCCACCTGCCCCCCCTCTCTCTAGGAGATGGTGATGTCCCACGGGGCCTTACTCCTCTGTGGCCCTTGGGCCAGGCACAAATGCACATGTGGGCAGGGAAGAGGCTCCTTTGATCATTTCCTGACAAAAGGTCAGGAACTGGGAGGCAGCTCCACCAGCTCCAGCCCGTGTGGGCAGGGGAGGGTGCTACCGGGGGATGAGGGCAGAGTGTGTGCACAGGGAAGGGGGTGTGCCAAGGCCTGCGGCTACTCCACTCCAGCCCTTGTCCTCACCCTCCTCCCTCTGAACCTCTCCACTCGCCGCCACCAAAGACAGCTTCTGCAGCTCACACCCACCCACCAGCCCTGACTCCCAAAAGCAAACAGCCATGTGAACCCCCCACTGCCCCTGCTCCTTCTCCAGGCCATCAGCACCTTGGGAGGCTGGGACCTGGCAGGCAGGCCCCTGTCCTCAGGACTGGGCTGTGTCTGAGCCCCTGGGAGCCTGGACCATCCCAATTCTCAATGCAGCCCCAGAGCAGAGGCTCCGGCGCTCAGGGCCTGGGGTTCCTCCTACTCTCCTGCCCAGCAGGTCCTGCCAGGGCGGGAAGAAAGAGACCTTCAAAGGCCCATGTGCAGGCCAAGTCAAGGACAGGCAGCTTCTCAAGTTTGAAAAGGGCATTCCAGAGACTGGAACAATTGCGGGAAGGGCTTGAGGCAGGAGGGGAAGGAGCCACTTTTCCAGCCCCTGCGGTCACTTGCGTGAGACCCTTGCTGCTGCAGGCTCCCCACTGCAGACATGGGGCCCCTTCTCTGTAAGAACAGGGTTTCGGCACCCGACCAGTCATACCAGGTCACAGCTCAGGTGTCCTGCCTCCCCTGCAGAGCCTGCCCCATGGGCCTCTGCTTCTGGCCTGCCCAGCAAGCCCAGAAGAGGGGGCAGAAGCCTGAGCCTCTGATCACCGCAGCTTCCATCCGGATCCTCCGAGTCCCTGCCTGCCCCCTTGCCGGCTTCGGCACTCCTTCCAGTCCCCTCCAGCCCCTGTACAGAAGCACCCCATTCAGCAGACTGCAGTCGGTGCCACTACTCCGGTCCCTGCAGACACTAGCCAAGCCGAGGCCCAGACTGCTCTCCCAGGGCTGGGCTGACTGTGGGCTGCTCAGGGACAGGACTTGTCAGAAGCCCAGGGAGAAATAAAGAGCATGAGCCATTCACACATTTGATCACAGAAGGAGCCAGAAACTAGACACCTGTGGCTCAGGGAAGGCAGCAGTGCTTCTGACCAGACAGATCCCTAAACGGGCTGGAACCTTATACCCCAGTCTCTTCTAAGCCTATTCACTGAGCCCCTTCTATGCTTGGATCCTGCAGGAAGGCCCAGGCATAAGCCCCCTGGCAGGACCCTCCCACAAAGAAACAAACAGACACGACCATTGCCAGGTCACCAAAAAAGAGACAGCCTATTCTGTCTGACCCTCAGCCCAGCTGGCTCAGCCCACACAGCCCGGAGACACTCACAGAGCAGGGGCCCAGATGGGACGAGGCCTCACCACTCAGCTGGAGACCCTGTGTGAGCTGCTGTTGGGCCGACACCGCACTACCTCTGGCGACCATGACCTGTCCTCTGGGGGGGGGGGGGGGGTTCCAAAAAGCTATTGGGGGGATGGGGAGCAAGAGTCCAGGGCTCAGAGGGCACAACCCCAGGACCTATGAGAGCAGCCAGCCGGGGGCGGGGGGAACCCCTGCTCAACAATCGGTTCAAGTCACCACTCCAGCTCAGCAGCGGGCTCTCTGCACAGAGAAAGGGGCTACAGAAGTTAACTACTCGGACCCATGGAGTAACAGTGATTTATTGTGCAAATCCCACACAAGTTCCAGATCCGGGGCCAAGCCCACAGCCCTAGCTGGGCCCTGGCTCTGGGACTGTTCTGTGGTCCCCACTCTGACCAGCGTCTGCTGTGGAGTGTACAGGTGTCCATGAGTGAGCCCACGTGTCAGGAGGCCCCCTGGGGATGTGGGCACTAGGGTGCGGTGGCGTCTCAGTCTGACATCACGTTCTCCGTATGCCCAGGCTTAGGAGCTACACTGGTCCACACAGTCCTTCCCGCTTCGGAACACATGATAGATGCTGGTGGGAGGGAACATGGCAACAGCCCCGAGCAGGGAGCCCACCTGGATGGCCACGCCAGCTGCCAGCAATGCTGGCCGGCCGCCACTGTGCAACAGGGAGCTGGCAGCCACCTTCACGTAGGAGAACACACCCAAGCACAGCACCCATGACAGCACCTGGGAGGGCGGACACAGTGGCAGGCTGAGCACGAGGGGCTCCCTGCTGTGGGGGAACCCTCCCCACTGCAGCCCTCTTTGCTTCAGTGTCCCCAGTGTACTTACCACAAGGACCACTCCTGCAGAGGTACCCACCAGGGGTGGGCAAGGGCTCAGGACTGCCAGTGCCATCAGGTAGGCCCCAAAGAGCATGCCCAGCACAGAGAGACCACCCAGCCCTGCCAGAGACCTACAGAGGTGAGCAGAAACTCAGGGCTGGCTGTACCCGGACCCAGCCCCCATCCCTAAACTCTACCCCTAGGAGCTCGGGGACCCTTGTGTACCTGCAGAGCACGCCCATGGCCAGAAAGCAGGCGAGGGGGCTGGCAGCGCTGCCCAGCACCACGGCCAGGTGGTAGGCCAGACGGCCATAGGGCAAGCAGGAAAAGCTCTGCACCGCAGGCAACACACCATTGGTCAGCGCGTTGGTGATGGCCAGCAGGCCCAACAGGCAGGCTCCTTGGACAGAGAGCAGCCGCTGGGTCTCAGCATCTGGGCTAGGAGTGGCGCGTGCTGCTCGGCTCGGCGATTCCTGCAGTGGTGAGGCCTCTTCCTCCTCCTCCACCGCTGGGGCTCTCGCCCGCAGGCCAGACCCCGGACCCTCTGTGGGTACAGATGGCGGGGTTGGCAGTAACAGCAGGAGACCCTGGAAGGCGGCGGCCGAAGTGACCAGAAGAGCGGTCAGCACCCAGAAAAAGGTGCTGGCGGGAAAACGCTCTGGGAAGTCGTGGGGGAGCCGAAGGGTGCCATTGGTGGGAGATGGCAAACATTCAAAGTGGCCTACGCCCTGCACAAGGGCCAGCACGCAGGGCAGCAGGGCACTGAGGCCCTGACCCAGGAAGAAGGAGCGCAAGAAAGGAGGTGGTAGGTGGCTCAAGAAGGGCAGGAAAGTGACGTTAGAGGCACAGCATGCCAGTGCCAGCACCAAGGCCAGCGTTAGGAAGGCCACGGAGTGGAGCTGCCCTGTGACTGGGGCCACATGGTGCCACAGGGGGGCCAGCAGGGCTGTGCCCGCTATGCTCAGTGCCTGGACCACCTGGATGGGAGCCCGCTCGCTCTTGCCCGGGGCCAGCCGCCTCCACAGGGTCACCACCAACAGACCCAGGTTCCCCACCGCCACAAGCACAGACAGGTATGACGGGAGACTCCAACCTGCCGGGAAGGGAGAAAGCCAAGTCAGGAGCTAAGGGACGAGGAGCAGCTGCAACCGGCCTCACCTGGCACACCTGAAGCCCCGCTCCCCTGCACGCTACCCTGCACACTCCCACTTACCCTCTGGAAGGTCCTTCACCACGACGGGCAGCTCCACCCAGATCCCGTTGATGGCAGCCCAGGAGCCCATGCCAAAGAGGGCTACCAGCATGTGGGTCCACACCAGACGGCCCAGTGGGGGTGCTGCCATTCAGCGCAAGGCTGGGCCCTTCAGAACAGGCCAGGGTCACGCCCGCTCCTCTTCCCCACCTAGACCCAAAGAAAAGGCTTCAGCTCTCCTGGGAACTGAAGACCTCTTCCATCTCGAAAGGAACAGACACGCATGCGGGATCACAGGTCAAAGCACAGAGCCGGAGTCAGAAGAGGGTCCGGCCGCCTGGACCAGGGAACCTGGAGCGTGCGCGGGGTGGGGCATGGGGATGGCAGGGGCCAAACATACCGGACGGCACGCCGTGCCCAAGGAACCACGACCCCAGAGGAAAACGAGGAAAAACGGCCTCCACCTTCGGGTCTGAGCTGGTGAGACCACCACCCTCACCCCGAAACGGACACGGACTCCGGGACAGCGCACCGCTAAGGCGCCACGCACACCTGAGCTGCTTCTGCGCCCCAGTGGGAGCCCGACGCTTCTGCGAGACCCACGACTGCGGGAGCGAAGTCGGGCTCCGCGGGGAGCGGCGGGCCGGGACCGGCCCTCGCTGCGTCAGGTGGGCGGCGAGGAGCTACCCGGGGCGCGGCGCTGCCCGCGCCTCCTGACCCTGCACCTGCGCGCTCCCCGCCCGACGGCCTGGCGTCTCGCCACACTCTGAAGGCGCCGCCGGCGGCCTTGGGGCGCGGCCTCAGCCCAGAGCCGGTGGGGCTGGGAGACGCCGGCGCGCCGGAGCGGGAAGGCCGGCTCACCCGAACGAAAGGAAGCCGCGGCCGGCCAGTCCCCGGCATGACCCGCCGCCGGAAGTCCCGCCCCGGAAGGGGGCGCGGAGGGGGGGGGGGCGGCCCTGGCTTCCGGTCCCGCCTTTCCGCGGGCATGCCCCGCCTCCTCCCGCGGCCCCGCCTCCTTCCGGCGGCCTCGACTCTTCCGCGGTAGCGGGCGGATCTGGCGTGGGGCTGGGGGCGATGGCTCTCGGGGCGGCGCGGCGGGCCCGGCGCAGGGTGCGGGGCGCCCCGCCGGCCGGGGCGCGGGCTCGCTCGGCCGAGGACTGGTGGTGGGACCGGCTGGTGCCCAGCGGCTCCGGGTACCACCTGCTGCAGTCGGACAGCATGCTGCTGCTGCTGCCGGGCCCCGGGCCAGCCCGCTCCCGCGCGCAAAGACGTGCGTCCCGCCGCACTCAGCGGCTGCTGCCCGCCGCGGCCCGCGCCCCGCCCGCCAAGGCCAGGCCTAGAGCGGCGCCCGCTCCGGAGCCGTCGCGGGGGCCCGACCCGGGCTGGGGCGACCGCATCCCGCTGGAAATCCTGCTGCAGATTTTCGGGCTGCTGGTGGCGGCCGAGGGGCCCATGCCTTTCCTCGGCAGGTAGTGGGCCCGTCAAGCGCCGCAGCGGGGCTCGGGCTGACCTCCTGCCCGCCCCGCGGGTGGCTGAGGCGGGGTGGGGGCGGGTGGGGTGCGGGCAGAGCGCGTAGCCGAGGGAGCGCTCACACACGCGTGCGAGAGAGCACCGTCCCTCGGGGGTCCAGTGAGAATCCCCCGGGCCTGTCTTTGAGCTAAGGTGGCCGCAGCGTCGTGACAGGCCTCTCCTCTTAGAAAACCCCGCAGCAACGGCCATGAAAGGCCCGGCCCCTCAGCTGAGATTCCCCCCCACCCCAGGGCTGCACGCGTGTGCCGCCGCTGGCACGAGGCCGCCTCCCAGCCTGCGCTCTGGCACACCGTGACCCTGTCGCCCCCGCTGGCTGGTCGCCTGGCCAAGAGCGGAGCCAAGGCCGAGAAGAAGCTTCTTGCCTCTCTGGAGTGGCTTATGCCTAGTCGGTGAGACAGCCCCTCTTTTCTTTGTTCCCTGGCTTCGTTTTTGTGGCTCGGAGAAAGCCGCAGGCCCGTTTCTGTCCCCTACACCAAAGTGATGGGATGGGCTGATGCTGACAAAGGGGCAACGTGGGGACACTATGCAGCTCTGCCTCTGCTGTCGGCCAGGTTCTCCCAGCTCCAGAGGCTGACCCTCATCCACTGGAAGTCCCAGGTACACCCTGTGTTGAAGGTGAGAGCTCTAGGCTGCCCTGCACACCAGCCCTGACACTTGGGGATTGCCCAGTACTTCCAGGCAGTGGGTCAGGCACCCGGATCCCAGTGGCCCCATGGGGATGCCTGCCCGGTTCTCCTTGCCTTTCTCTTTCAGCAGGGAGGTGTCAGAAGTGGGAGCACCCGTGCTGGCCTTCAAGGGCAGAAAGGAGGTCCTGGCTGAGACAGTAGAGAGGGTGTGGCGTCAGCCACTGGTTTCTTTCCTTCGTGGACCACAGAGACCCAGTCTCGGCTGGTGCTCTGTCTTCCACAGCTGGTTAGTGAGTGCTGTCCTCGGCTCACTTTCCTCAAGCTTTCTGACTGCCATGGCGTGACCCCCGACACGATGGTCATGCTGGCCAAAGCCTGCTCCCAGCTCCACAGCCTGGACATACAGCATTCCATGGTGAGCCCTGTGTCCCCAGGGGTCCTGAAGAAGCCTGGGCCGAAGTGACAGGTACCCATGTGCTGGGTTCTCAGGTGGAGTCCACAGCTGTGGTGAATTTCCTGGAGGAGGCAGGGCCCCGAATGCGCAAGTTGTGGCTGACCTACAGCTCCCAGACGACAGCCATCTTGGGTGCGCTGCTGGTAGGTTGGTGGCAGGCACGAGCAGAGCCCAGTGCTGAGCCAGGGACTGCCAGGCCGCTGAGCCTGCGCTCTGTGACCCCTCTGCAGGGCAGCCGTTGCCCCCGGCTCCAGCTCCTGGAGGTGAGCACTGGCCTCAGTCGCAACAGTGCTCCGCTCCAGCTGCCAGTGGAGGCCCTGCAGAAGGGCTGCCCCCAGCTGCAGGTACTGGCGCCCCGCCTCTCCCACCTGCTGGCACCTGATGCCCTGCCTCCCCCGCCTGCCACCCTCCCTCCCCATCTGCAGCCTGGGCCTCGCTCCAGGTGCTGCGGCTGCTGAACCTGACGTGGCTGCCCAAGCCTGCCGGGCGAGTGGCAGCTCCCGGCCCCGGCTTCCCCAGCCTCGAGGAGCTCTGCCTTGCCGGCTCCACCTGCAACTTTGTGAGCGATGAGGCCCTGGGCCGCCTGCTCCATGGCTCCCCGAGTCTGCGCCTGCTGGATCTTCGAGGCTGTGCCCGCATCACACCGGCTGGCCTGTGTGATCTGCCGTGCCAGGGTCAGCTTCCTCTGGGTGCTGGCCAGGTGGGACGGGTGTGGCTCCCCCTGCCCGCCCCACAGCTCGTGAACACCCTTTGTCTCTAGAGCTACAACAGCTTCACCTGGGCCTCTACGGCATGTCCGACCGGCTGACTCTGGCCAAAGAGGGCAGCCACCTGCTGACCCACAAGTGGCACCACAGTCTGCGGGAGCTGGACCTGAGTGGCCAGGGCTTCAGCGAGAAGGACTTGGATCAGGCCTTGGCTGCCTTCTCAGCCACCCCTGGGGGCTCATCCCCCGCCTTATGCTCTGTCAACCTCAGGGGCACCCGGGTCACACCAAGCACGGTCAGGTCAGCATCCCCTTCCCCTGTCCCTTGGAGTCAGTATGGCTTGCCTCCCCAACAGGCCTGGCTTGCAAGCTTCGAGGGCCAAAAGGGGAGCACAGGGCCGGCCCCTGTTTCGGATGGCCCTTAGGGACACCGTGGGTACTGGGCTTGGGCCTTGGGGCCTCTGGGTGGCAGAGCCAGCCGTGGCGCCTGGGCAGAGAGGGCTCCTTATGCTGGCCTATCCCCGCCAGGGCCCGGGTCTTCCGGGAACCAGTGGCTCTGGTCCCCATGGCCTGCTCTGCCCCTCCAGCTCTGTGATCAGCAGCTGCCCAGGCCTCCTCTACCTCAATCTGGAGTCCTGCCGCTGCCTCCCTCGGGGCCTGAAGCGGGCGTACCGAGGCCAGGAGGAAGTCCAGTGGTGCCTCGAGCAGCTGCTCACCAGCCTCCCCTCCTCCGGCTAGGCAGTCCTGGACCCCAGGCGCTCAGGTGGCCACCGGTGCCCTCCACCCTTTACGTGTTTGGGATGATTGAGCGTTTTGTTACAATAAAACATTTTAGGAACTCTGTGTGGTCCTTCAGGTGGGGATGAGAGGGCAGGTGTCATACCTGAGGGAAGCATCTAAGGCTGAAACTGGCGGAGAGCCTGTGGGGTAGGGTGGGGGTGGCCTCCCAGATTCCTGAGGCTGCCTGTGGTCATCCCTCGCTCACTCCTCCCTGGGCCTGAGTCCTGGACTGAGTGTGTGTCCTGCCCTCAGGGACACACACGGAGGTGAGCGGTCTGTGGTCTACCCGGGCAAAAGTGGTGATGGGGGAGGCCTGCTCAGCCGTGGGGTTCAGTGTGGGGAGCCTGCCTGCAGATTTCTCTCCAGCTCAGGCCTGGGATGTCTTGCCACCCTCCCTTCGGGTGAGGACTGCAAACCAGGCCAAGGAGGGTGGCGCTGGGTGGTGTGGGGACTCGTAGGGAAGCGCGTGCTCACTTCAGGGCCAGACCTGGGGACTCCCTGCAGAAGGGGTAGTCAACAACAGCCCCTTCTAGAACACGCTGCTCAGAACTTCTAGAACCCAGGCCGCGCCCAGCCTGGGCCACCGCCTCAGCTGGTGTCGCTCTTCTGCCTTTTGAAAGCCTTCCTGAAGGGCAGCCCTGGAGCCTTCGTTGTACCAGGTCAGTCCGACCTCGAGCCCCGGGTGCTGGCAACCTACCAGCAGCCCAGCTGACTCTGTTCCTAACCCAGGTCCCCAGGGGCCGCGTCCGCGGCCTACCCACGACCTCCGGGGGCAAGCGCTTCCAGCTCTGGGCCCTGGGACTCTTCTGCACGGAGCGCCACCTGGCCCAACGCCTTAAGCACGACAGCTTCTACCCGTTTACCCAGCAGCAGCCCAATGGTGCGCGCGGACCGTGAAGCAGAACAGGCCGGGGCGCGGACCCCTGCCTGAACCCCCGCGGGATACAGTCCTGCTTGGGCAGGGCGGGGGCTGGCCCCGGGATCTGATTGGAGCGGGGGCGGGGGCGGGGCCAAGCCCGGGGCGCCGGGAGACGGCGGCGCCTGCAGGGCCCAGCCAAGCTCACGCGCCGCCGCCGTGCCGCCCGCCCGCAGTCTTCGTGCTGGAGTACTACCTGGACACGCTGTGGAAGGGCGCTCTGCTCTTCGTCGTCTGCCTCGTCCTCGTCAGCTTCGGCCTCGTGAGCCAGGTGTGAGCTCCGCGCACCCCTCCCCTGCCGGCCTCCCGGGGCTGGCCCCCCCCCCCGGCGCCCCCCCCCCCGGCTTCCCGGGGCTGGTCCCCCCTCCGGGCACCCCCCGCCGGCTTCCCGGGGCTGGCCCCCTCCCTCTGAGCCCCCGCCGCCGGCCTCCCGGCCCTGGACCCCCTCCGGGCACCGCCCTCCAGATCCCCCCACGCCCTTTGGTGACTGAGGCCCCAGCGGCTCCCGCAGGTGCTGAAGCAGGAGACGTGGGGCTTCCCCGCGTGCGGCGTGGTCGTTGGCCTGTGGCTCCTGATCTCGTCCCTGCCGCGGCGCCGCCTGGTGCTGAACCACACGCGCGGCACGTACCACTTCTCCATCCAGGGCCGCACCGTGTGCCAAGGGCCCATGCACCTGGTCTACGTGCGCCTGGCGCTCAGCTCCGACGGTGAAGCGGGCGCGGCCGCGGGCGGGGGCGGGTGTGCAAGGAAGCAGCTTGGGGACGGGGCGCCGGGGGTGGGGGAGCCTAGCCGACCTTCTGCCCTGCGCCCCCAGCCCCTCTGCGCTCGCTCCCCATAGC